TTCGTAATATGCATCGTAGTCATCTAAACATTATGAAATAAGTATACAATGTAAATACAGATAATAAATATATTTTTACCGCTGGCCGAAATTGCTTGTAGATCTTGGGTATTAGATTTTTTCGGAAAATTATAGTTGCTTTTATCTGAATTGACCCATCGAGAAAACAGCTTTCCTGTGGGATTTTTTTGAAGGAGTTTGTTGGTACGGAGTTAGCAGACTTTTGTTTAGTATATTTGCAATGTTTTATATGATACATTTATTTCGTCAATTTTTTATAAAAATATGCAGTTTTGTAGCTCCTAGAATTTGAGTGTAACCCTTCACTAAGAATTTAATTTTCACTCTATTTGGTTTATTCTAAAAAATCAACTATACTTGAAAAAAAAAGAAATAAGTGTGTGTAAATTACTGCAAATATACTAAAAAAAAGTGTGCTAGCTGCATGATTATGTACGTATGTAGATTAGAGTGGTTCCAATAATTTTTTACAACTTACCGGCTTTTTTTGGCTTCCAATATATTTTTCAATAATGCATTGGCACAATGTGTTTTGGTTTTTGGCATCCAGGAAACCTTTTTCTTCCTGATACTGGAGTATAAGCTGGCCTTTTACGGTACTTTTTAAAAGTTCAATTAAGCTCCCACTGTCTATGCAACCACATGACGACTGAGGTAAAGGCGAAGACTCTCTCGAATTTTTAACAGCATTCAAGTCGTTCGAAATTTTCTCTAACAATTCCAAAATTTTACTGCTTTCATCACACTCAAATGGCACATTCTAAAAATTGCATGCGTTAAGATTCATACACATTTTTATACCCGAGCGCACTTGTGCACAAGGGTATTATAACTTTGTTCACATAACGGTTGTTTGTAACAGGCAAAACGAATCGAGATAGATATAGACAAATGTATACATAAATGAGCAGGATGAAAAGAGAAATCGATTAAGCGGTGACTGTCTGTCCGTCCGTCCGTCCGTCTGTGCACACGATAACTCGAGTAAAAATTGAGATATATTAACGAAACTTGGTATGTGCACTTCTTTCTGGCGTAGGACGGATGGTATTGAAAATGGGCAAAATCGGACAATAACCACGCCTACCTCCCATATAACGGTAGCTTTCAGAAATACAAAAACTGCGATATTTTAGTAACTACTGAAGATAATTCACTCAAAATTGATATTTGTAATAAATTTTAGACGAAAAATAAGAATATTAACATTTTTTGTAAATGGGCGTAGCGACGCCCACTTATGGTT